CTCCACGTCCAAAGAACACATTATCTTATCGGACTGATTGACGTTATCCAAGACATCGATAAGTCGCAAGAAATTCATAAGACCAAAGGATTGGACAGTTTTCGCAGCGGCGGAAGGATTTTCACTAGTCAGTGAGCCAGTTTATGCTTCGGTATCTGTCTATGTATCACTCCGTTCTTCTGCGTTTTCTGTGCACCGTACAGTTGTCATGGTATTGACAGATCAACCAATAATGGGGACGATGGGGAGCCCAGTTGAACTTTCCAACCTGATACACGCATCAACACTCGTCAGGCAGGCCGGGTTAAGATCGCTCGCCACCTAATTGATGGCTCTAGCCCATGTATTCAATTCACGTAGCTGTCGGATTTGGCAGTTGCCAAAACCACTGCAACCAAGCTCTAGATAGTTTACCGCAAACTCCTCATAATGACCTCAACATTATTTAAATCTGTTTGGTGCCTAATATCGAGCGCATGTACCGCCCCTGCGAATGTCTTAGTAATACCCTGTACACTGTATCCTGTACCCTGTATCCTGTTCCTCGATGGTAGTAAAATACAATCTTTGTGTTCTGAAACCAGTGAGCGTATCACTCTTGCCGTCTGAGCTATGTCCATATGTGGACCGTTTTACCTTCGATTCTGTGGAAGCATTTTGCTGTCCTATCCATGGGGAAAGTTCCTTCAATTGTATAAGCGCTGAATGTAGTGTTTGGCCTCCTTGGAAGATTGCTCTTATATTCTCCTTGTACAATAACCTCTGAATTGTCTCAGAGGTTACTTCCTGATGCACCTGGATGGACGAAGCTTTTGTGTCAGAAGCGAGGCTTTGCTCAACATACAGGAAAATCGAATACTGCTAAAGCTCGCTGTACTCTTGACTTATCAATCGGTTGTGACTATATTTCGCGACTTTTGTTATAGTAGAATTTAGCACATCGGTGATAGAGTGGTACTGTTTTTTATTTACAATTTACTAATTATATAGGGGCATTGCCATTTAATACCCGTTGAGCTTCTGCACCATGTGGTACTAGAATTTATGTTTCTCTCGTACACAGCCAACGAGCACCATACTTGCGTTTTCGTATGAGATTTTTTCCCACTTCAGAATAATGTTATCAGTTTATGGTCCGTCAGCTGTCTATTATAGAGACTCATTTTATCTTCAAAAGCCACTTAACATCGAACTCATCTTTTCCTCTGATTCTGTTGCTGACGAATGAACTACAACTGCGTTCTAGTTTTATTATCAACAACTGCAATAAAGAAAAGTCTATGAGTGTCGCTGCAACTTAAGCAGATACGTCTACCAATTAGACTGTCTATGATAGGCTTTCTTCCGTAGTTTGTTAAACGATGCCCAATAGCAGTACCTTCATCAAGCGAGGTTCTTAATTCGCTGTTCGTTGTTGGGTGGTGGAGTATCTGAGGTGTATTATTGTGACGCACAATCTCCATTGAGGTGAAGATTTAATTTGAAACGTACTCTGTCATTTCCATCACTGGGGCTGCAACCGATGAGGTTTCATCTGCTTGGCCACAGCAATCGCCTGGTTGGTCTAACATTACTTGTGCCAGTCAACGTCTTTCGTGTTGCACCAAAGAGAATTGCATTTTATACTTCAAGTTTCGTTCTACTGCGGCTGCAATAATTTCAGACAATAATAGCTCATCCCATCAATAGCGGAAGAACTCTTGTTTTTCTCTACAGTTTCAATAACTTGCTTGACCAGTTACAAGTTTTGGGGAAATTAATTTATGTAACAACTATATAACAGGGATAAAAGGCTTGTGCTTGACAAATCCCGTAGGATGGTCTGGATGAAAAACACGATTCCAAAGAAAGGCGTCCTTAAGAATTCTGGTTGTGCATCCGTATTCTCATCGTCATATTCACACCACAACTGCAAATCCGCTTAACCCTATTTCGTGGGGACTGATGAGCACGGTGTTTGCTGGTGCTTTGTCGTCATTTGATTATCGCGGACCACGTTACGTGATACAATTGGTGTAACGCATTCTGGAGATGGGTAATGTTGGCTCAGAACTGACGTAATTCGTGACAGAGTTTCGCGGGTACAATTTGGGTGGCAGAAAGTTTCCATTGACATTCCGACCATTACTTGGTCGCACTTACTACGGATCTGAAACCGCCTGATTGATTAGCCACGGAAAGGTCAGTTACATCGACTTTTGTATCTGCTTTCTCTTCAAACTACTGTTGATTGTAAGGGATAACTGTATAACGAAATAATTACTAATTTTTAAAAATCAGTACTCAAATATACGGCATTATGGCGTTCGTCTTCCAAAATTATTCATCTGGAGCAAGGTGGGATAAATTTGACCGGTTATCAAAGGTAAACGCTCACACCTGACCGATGACGTTTCCCTATCAAACGCAGGGACGAAGATTCTACTATGCATTTACCGATACGTCTGTCCAGAATTCTTGATTATTCAAATTTTGATTTGGTCAACTGCTGACTGCATATGATCCAATCCTCTAACTTCACATTTCGTTTACTATGTATTTATTTCGGCAGTACTTTCTCCCACATGCAAACGAATACACAGATTTCACCACCGAGTTTGCATTGGTATGTAATTAAGTAAACAAAGCTCACGAATTTTTGAGAACCATGTAAACAGGGACTGGTGTGCTACACATTCAGAGTTCCCAAAATTTCATTATGTAAACAACATATGCCTTTGTGCTTAATATTTTGGAAAGGTTTACCTAACTAACTGTCCGCTAGGTGAAGGAACACATGTGAAAATCGTACCTACCGTAGGTTTGACATACATAAATCAGGTAAGTCAGTGTCGCAATAAAACTATGTCGCAACCGAAACTTTTGGTTAGACAAATGCATTGCCTTGGCGTGTCAAATGATTTCCACCCCAATTTAGGCCAACATTAATGTCGTTATGCTGAGGATGAGTGAAATTTGGATCAGAAATTCCAGTAAGCTCCTTGGTCGTCTCCTTTACTTCACAAAAATCCACATTTAAACACCAGGGGTCTAGATTAAGAGACGGATATTTCAGAAGTTATTTAAAGGGACCGCATTAATTTACTTCCAACCATTATTGAGTGTCGGTGTGTTTTCAAACCTCAACGTGTAATATTCTTTCCGAAATTCCTACTTCGTATGCCCAATTACGGTTTTTAGCAAAACTATTTTTTGCAAGCTGTTACAACTTTTTCCTCTTATTGATTCTTCATGCTGCCCGAATCATAGCTTTGGATTTCGTCGGTCACACATATTTGGGGAGCAAAATAATGAATCAGGCAACTCTTTAACGCGGATTATTGTCGCCAAATTGTTGCCAGATTTGGAGCATCAGAGGACATGAAGATTTTAGCAGACATACTTTTGTCAGCTTTGAACTTGTTTGAAATTCTTCCGAATAGCCATGCAACTTAAATACTGAGCAATCTGCAACAGAATGTGTTTATCGAGCCCAACAGCAAGAACAAATTTGTTATCAAGGACCCACAGCTGCTATAATGACCATCCTATCATTAGTTAAAGGTATCATGCTCCGATATTAGTATCAGCAAAATCATTCAGTTTCTCCCCAGCAGACTATCATTGAGCATTTATTTCATAATCCATTCTGTTTACGTAATAAAGCTGAAAAGGACACCTAATACAACTATATGCTCGCGAAAATTGCTCTGTTGGAGTAGGTTCAAAGAAATTTGTGCTCTACATTGCGTTTAACCTGCTCGATTAACCGGAATGGAAAATACTACACCGGATTACCCATTCATGTCAATATGAGCTAATAATGACGAAGACGACGCTTACCTCCGGTGCAGAATTTGGAGGATGCCAATCACCACAAATATACATGCAAATAAAACCAATGATAAACACTAAGATAGTTTTTCAGATGGTCTGTGAGGTATTTGGGAACAGCTTTAATGAAACCGATTCACTGGACTAGTTATAAGGTCCAATCCAACCAATAGCGACGCAGGAAAAGTACAGTGAGATTTGAAATCGAAGACGAAGCATATTAGGGCCCAGCTATACAAATAACTGCATGTAGGCGTGCACCAACGTAGACATTAGTAAAACTAAAATTTTGAGTGAATTTTACCATCCAGCCTTAAGCGAGAAGATGAATCATCAGGCTACTACAGATTTTATCCCCATGTGGTTGGTTTCAGGTTAACCATTATCCCAAGATAAATGAATCTGGAATAAGTAAAACGTAACAACAAACAGACTATACTTTCACAAGCAATGTGCCTTGAATGGGCAGTCGCACTGCTGCGCAAACGTGAATTTTATCCTCTGTTCGGCTGCCCTTACTTAGTTGATAACTCGGATGACATTTGTAAAATATGTTCGATTGCCAGACCAGCCAGGTTGGTGATTAATTTTTATTCCTTTGCACATTGCGACAATGTAACTAGTCGTTATGGCGGTCAAGCTAGTGATTAGTTTAAAACTGCCTCCATTCTTACATATGGGGACTGCATCCATTCTTTGCAGAATCGGGCAGTACAGCGAAGTTCTAATATTCACATAGAGTGGACAGGTATTAAAACACCGGAGATTCGAATATCTACTGCCTAAAAACGAGATTAGCAAGTTAATATCCTGAATGAATCTAGATGAATCAAAGCTGGATGTTAGTGAACGGGGAATGTTTAAGATTTCATTTGATGCCCTCGCTAAATCCACGTAGAGCTTTCGATTATAATTTCATGATGAGAACGAAGTAGACGCTACGTATATCATTATTTTGAAAAGCGGTGTTTTTATAACACTTCAAACCCAAGTACCATTTCATTCGGACGTATATTCTCCGCAATTTGATATTTAATTAATGATGTTAACAAATGCTGTGGCGTGAAACATTTACAAGCAATTCAAACATTGCCAACGATTAATCGGAATTGAAATTAGCCTGTTAAACTACATTTATACATATGGTATCCGTCATTTTGTTGCCTACATTTTGTACCTTATTTTAGGCCCAAGTCATCGAAAAATTCAAACTCTCCATGGATCGGGAACATCACAGCGCCGGTTCCCTTCCGACACAACGTTGAACTTCGCGTCCAGAGATGGGACTCAGGTAGTTATATTCATATGTATGATTTACAAGATTTCTCCTAAACCATTTCATTTGGGACGGCATATGCTACATCAAACACTGTTTGTATTTCGTGTTGTGCGTTTGTAAATGGACACGGTTAAATTGCTACTAACACATTCTTTGGACTGATGTGTACCTTGTGAAACTTGTATATCCCACTCCTACATTCAATGGATTCCCTAGAATGAACATCAAGTGTACTCACCGCTGCATATCCAGATCGGTTATGCAAATTTTTGGGATTTGGAAACATCTTACAGGCAAGTTAGAGAAAACAGGTTGGTGGGTGAACATTCGTTTCTGCGTCAAAAGGGTGCTTGAAACTAGCAGGTTTCCGTTAGTAGCTCCTTAAATCTCGTGAGCTCATGTCAGTTTTCTAGGGAATTAATTTTCATAATTGAACAGAATTTACTTTCTCCATATCATATGACGGTCACAAACTTGTACACAAAGCTTGAAATCAATTTTCTTTTGGCCGTCCCTCGTGCTCAAAATCCCCTATGAGCTTCCCAAATACTTGCTTTCAAGCATCAAAATAAACACGAATGTTGCTGCATAATTGGTTCTGTTTTGAAGTATTTAATCTGGAAATAAATCTTACTGATGCAGATACGAGACTTGGATTTTGCTGTTTAAAATGGGCCAATTTCGTTGAACCTGTATAGGGCAACGTTAGAGTTACTTCGGCATTCGAATTTAGAGCTCAGCTGCCAAAACAATACGTCATCATCCCCGTGTTATACATGAATACCATTGTAGCGTGTCTATTCGTAAGCAAACCTGTACATTTGATGAAGTCAATTTGTAACAGCTCCAGAAGCTGAAATTTGCAATCATGCCTATTGTCATGCTTGGAAAAAGTAATAGACATTAACCACATCAAATATTCAATTTTCTAACCAGGAACTATTGTAGCTTACTCTGTTGCAGGAATTATATTAATATTCCTGGAATAGCAGTCACTTCACCTTAAGTGATTCATAGAAGTATGATGGCGGAGATCAGAGTTGCTGGCTGGATTCCCTTCAGGTGATCGACGCATAAACTGGTACAACGCTAACGGAGGACAAATCGATTGCATGGACCCGACATTAATGGAAAGAAGGTGTACTCTGCATGGGTTGACATAGAAAGTCAAGTGCGAGTGACGTATCTGCAGACCAAATAGTAGGTGGAAAAATAAACCATTTCATTTTTTAATAATCAGAATAGTCAATGGAACGACAAATTGTTGTGAGTTCTGACTTATTTTATCTAACTTCTAATTTCTGTGAAAAGGCTGTCTGAGTTTAGGAAACGTCTCACTTTAGTAAGTGTTGAACACTTACTTGCTTCAAGTTAGTTGTACAGATGATTAATTAAACAGTATATTTTTATTTTGCAAGTAGCTGATCTAAAAATGTTCCAGGTCTTTCGAGCAAATGATTTGAACCCCTGCGTGCAAAGCATGCAAACTCAACAACTTGATCAACTAAGCATCTGTTCTGTTTCGATAAATTCTGCACTTATTTAGCTTAGCCAAATTGCAGCGATATAACTTTGCATCCGATCCGTCAATTTTCCATCTTGGTGTGCTCGCTTGTAGATTGTAAAACTGGCTAGATGTTCCTCAGGATTTAACAGGATTGAGGTAAAATAAGGTGAAAAATCCTCCGAAAGGCTACTTAGAGCAGCAGAGTTCCTAAGGCATTTATGCGCACACAAATTTTTGCGTCGGTGTTAACTCGCAGGGTTAGTGTGATTTAGCCACGGCGTTCATTTCAACGCACCGCACATCACGGCTGCTCTGTGTCGCAGAATCAGCAACGTCGTGTGGATCTTTTAGATGTCGAACGTCTTTAAGTTGAAGAAAACTGAAGCGGGATCTCACTCCCTAGTGTACCTACAGTTTGAAGCTCTACCGGACTGGTAGTCTTGTGGGCGAGTTGATATGGAATTAAACTTCTAGACCCGAAAGGACTTTCCTAACCCAATGGCCAGGGATGGGAATGGCACAGAGGAGCTTAGTGCTTCCATTTTTGGATGATGGGTTGATAACAAAAAGCGCCAAGAATGCGTCTCTAAAGTATTGATGACAGATATTAGCTAGTTTGCGAAAGTAATATACTACTGGGATTGATATATTTCTCAATCGAATATATGTAATAGTCATGCAGGTTGTTGTCACAGTCTAACTAACATTGCAAGTGCAATTCTTGAACGTTGCACATCACTTCACGGGTGTGCACCAGTTATGAACAACGCAGAACCTTGGATGATTCAGTTGAAAACTATCATCTGTACAGCTTCGCTTCAATAATTCATGCCTCGCTTGTTGGTCAGCGCTGACTTGTCTTTTCAAAACAAAAATAATTTGAGCGTTCTAAATCATTTATTATACCAAATATAAAGAGCAGAACACCTAGATTGTGAGATGATGCCGTTATTTAGTTCATTCTTAGCAATCGCAAAAACGCATTAGAACATAAACTGTTACCATATATAACAAAACGCATGGGCTAACACGGTAAATTTAGAGTGACCGTCAGCTGTTTTTGGATGCACAGCGCTGGTCATTCGCGATCGATGACGATAGCTACCGGTAGCCTAAGGAGTTAGGGCCGCTGACCTCGCATTAGGACTGTGAACGACTTAGTAGGATTGGATCGGTGACCGGTAGTCAGCAAATACCTGGTGACTGCTGAGGTAGCTCGGTTCTCGAGTCAACTGATTCATTTCGTCACAGATCCCATGCGGCTGCGCAGACACTTTGGGTTGTGTTTATTTATTCTGACACCTAGAATTCGGCCAGTGCACCCGAGGTAGCTTTCTCCACAGATACAAGCGAATTTGTATAGACCATGTGACATGCATTGATTTTTCATCAGTGTCATAATGGAACACATTAGCATTAGAATCATAAACGGAAAGGCTTGTTTCAAATTTCTCAAACGAAGAGTCACCGTCTCAATTGTGGAAATGTGACACCACTTGGTTAGTCTCAGGTGCAAGTTCGCCTTCAAAAGAGCGACTGGAATTTGTGACTCGGTATATCACCGATAATCTCTACCCACGTGAATTTCCGAAGCGCTTGCGAAACAGCAGGCTTCTCCCGAATGTGTCCAACTATAACTTACTGAATTTAGTCATAAAGAAACTTGTTCACATAGGATCAAGCAGCTCATAAAAACCGCAACGTGATCTATCATGGTGTGAGTCTTTTGATGATGGTGTGTCAAGTTAAATTCATGAACTTCTGCCACAATCAAGTTTGAGCGTACCGTTTCTGTTGAACGACATAAGAAAGAGTTTCCTGTTGATTATTCATAATTTGTCCACAACATCTTAGCGTTATCCCTCAACCGTTTGCAAAATGAACTCTGTTCCCTCTGAGTGGGAGTCATGACACCACCTTGTCAGATTCATAAATTAACTATCTTATAAGTTTTTGTGATTGATATAAATGCATGAAATGACGACGTCATCTCACTTTCTACCTGTTCTGATTTTTGTGTTTGGAATCATAGAAGATGCTAGTTTTAGTTATTATTCCTACTAGTAAAAGAGTGCACATAGTCCTCTTGCAAAAAACAAAATGCAAGTAGTTCTATCATTAGACACCAGAAATACATAGTGGAGAGAGAGAAATTGCAATTGGAGTACTTATACGTTTATGAACACAATGTCTAAAGACAAATTTCCAGCCAACATGGATATTAGGTGTTGAATGTTCTGGTTTTCATCAGCGCCACGCTTGAACGTCTGCATAGCCCGATAACTCCTGACATTGGCCAAAGTTTATTTATTAATTGGATTACCCATCCGGAAAATACTTTTCCTGGGGTGGATAGTAACATTCCGGAACGTGCTTTTTGACTTCTTGCTATGTGTGGGGTATCTAGTGTTTAACGACGAGTGACTATTACCATGAACGTGCGCAAGACTGTGTATGATTTAAACTACAAAGGAGAGGTTGATGATAAACCATATACCAGCCGACGCATTAAAAAGTATCTACAAGGCCCCTGATAATCGATTATGGTATATGCGCAATCGGATATTGGAAGCCGCTGAAGCCATCGCAATTCGGCTGCATGAATTGAATGTTTGCATTCAGAGGCTGTTCGTTCAATTCTTATAGCTGCCCTGGTTAGATCGACTTGTGACATTTACTCAGTTGGATCGCAGGCAGGCCCAGACATTGATCTGACCAATGGCGATGGTGCACTTTTTCTAAACACTGGTTTTACCCCCCTTGCTTAACGATTGTCTGATTGAGCTGAATGGTACACACTTATACTAAACTAAAGAAGAATTATCGAAAAGATATGTTCGATAACATCGCCTCTGGACTATTGAATGCACTTCTTATAATTGTTAAGCACAATTCCTTGAATCTATATGGGAACAAGTCCAACGGCGCAGCTGCGTTTGCTATAGAATATCCAACTAAATGTTTGTAAAACCACTATGATTACTTGCCAGTGCAAGCTGCGTTACACATCTTAGATTGAAGTGGACCTTTGAGCGGCACTTCATAGTAAGCAACACATGTTTCTTATAGAGCTGAACTCGTAATTCAGCGAAACAGAAACATCGCAGAAAACAGTTTGCGGCTCAGTGGCTTTCTATACTTGATATTCAGGAGGTTCTGAATAGTCAAACGTGGTAGAATATCGCGCATCTAATTTGCGAACAAATTTAACTAGCCGATTTGTGTTCCATGCTACAAAAAGGTGTCTAGGGCACTTCATATTCACAAGAGAGGGCCACATATTGGTTGAGTGAAAAAGGGATGGTTCACATTTAGCAACAGGATTTAAATGTTTAGAGGTTGTTCTAGATACTTTGCAGCACTTCTTAGCTATCAGCACAACTTTGTTCATAGACGACTTTAATGTACTAAGGGACGTATCACAACTCTTTATGTTTTGAATTGCATCAGTTATGCAGATGAGAGAGAATGACGGTCGAGAATCCGGCGTTGACTAACTTAGATGGTGGCCCCCTTGAGCTTTTTAAAGCAGTTTCCAGTGTGTACCAAACGCTCTCTTTAAGCAAGATATGGTAAAAAACGAGAACTAAGTATTGCCTAAATGTTCCCAGATGTGCGGAGCAGACGTTATCAGTAGACTGGGGTTTCAGTTACCCCAGATTTGGCAAAGTACGCGCTGTAAGTCTTCAGGGGCATCTACAGAGGTAAATTCTGCACATGGATAGAACAGCGGAACAATGCTTTTATGCGGGTAAAAGATCTAATGCTTAACAGGCTTCGTATGGTGATTATGGTTGAACTTGTAAATACAAAAGTTGTTAGCGAAATTGTGTTTGCGCCCGTGAGCTCACTGGGGTATACGTAGTGTAAGCTTTAAATCCAAGACAATTCCATATGGAATGACGGCAAATGGGTTGTTTGATAATAAATCGTGTCCTTCCCTGGTGTACACTTAGGGGAGGAAAAAAGTAGAACAAAGTATTAGATTTGGCCGCCAGTTTACCCATGGGTAATGAGTTATGTATGATGGTGGTGCGAAATAGGTGCATGGTCAATATGGGCTTTGATCTGTGCCAGTGTAGGAGCACCTATGACGGCTTCCGGTAGGGCATTCCACATTCTGCAACCGCGTACGTGAAAGAAATTCCGACGACATTCCAAACAACTGTGTTGCTTTACCAGTTTGAGATGATGGCCTCACAAATTGCTGCTGTGACTGAGTTATGGCAAGTTGCGGCACGTGTGGTCGGAATAACTCACAATTCCGTAAGTCTAAATGCAGTCCCCGAGCAGTCGCCGATACTCTTCGCTGAAGACCTCGAGCACTTGAATCCTACGTCCATTCAGCAAATTATACAGACACTTGACATTTTTGTTTCCCCAGCATTGGGATATCTCCATGGCGGTGAGATCTCTCCCCAGCCAGATCTATATTGCGCATTACACACTAGGACGTATGTAACAGCCGAAAAGTTATGGAATATTGGAAGCGTCGGATCGTCCGAATGCACGCTGCTGCACGGATGCTGCTTCTTGATGCCTTTTCAGTTTGATTTTAAGGTGGTAGTATTGGGCGTGAAAAGACTTTGATAAACAAGTGAATTTACGTTTTCCTTTCAAATGTTTACGCTCTGTTCGAATGACTTTTATCAATCTGCTGGTTAAATTGTTCAACTTGGTTTACTGCTATTTGCCTAAATTTTTATCCGATCCGTTACTGCTTGCGGCCAAACTTTCAAAAATCGCACTTGCTTTGGTCTCAAGAGAATAAATCAGTACAAAAGCTACCAGTATCATAATTTAGACGGATTTCGTGGACAGGAGGAAAGCAGGAAATCTCATGGAAATCAAACATGCTAATTAGTGCTGCACACAAGCTTCGTTTTCTATACTCCTTATCAGCTGAAGAAGAATTTTTAAACTGAAATGTGACAAATTTCGTCATCACGGTTCCTCATTGACGGAGTTGCTTCACATTCTCCCTACACTGTACGTTACAGATTTCGCAGAATTTTTATTCTTATTCATATTTAGCCACCCATATGGCTGCTTGTATTGTAGTTTCGACAAGAAAATAACCATCACTTAGTTATTTCAACAAACCAGTTGTTTTTCCAGTTTAGTAGTGAACTTTTCTCAGTAAATTACGTACAGCATACAAATGCGCAGTGTTGCTGCAGCTAAAAGCAGAGGAACGCTTTAGAAAAACTCTAGGTGTATTCGTTGTGACATGCAACGCTTTAGTTCGTTTTTAAATATCGAGTGTATGACATAACATAAAATTTCCTGCGCAGCTGTGTTCACGTAATATCCTTTTAGTCGAAGTGGCCATTTTTGACAACAAGGCTAATTGGGTTCAAAAGCACTTAAACATTCAAAAGAAGAATATCTTACATCGTGAAAATGAAGAAAAACTCTATCTCCCGACTTTCGAATTCCTTGACAAATTTGAGTATTACTTCGTAATAGTTAAGTGAAAGTTCATTGTGCAGTGTTACTTAATTAGGTATCGCATCCAGCGCTCAGTCTTCAGGCGTACTAAAATACTACAGTTGAAACCTAGTTTAGTGTTTCAGTTAACGAAACGGCTTCTGTGGCCCTGCTAGCAGACGTCCTATGTATCCTATATATTGTCCAAAACTTTGTTAGCATAATCATCAAAAACACATATATTACTCTGGGGTTGTTGAATGTTCAATCAGCATTTACAAGCCATGCACCGCTATATCCTAATTCATACTATTCGATAATATCTTTCGGAAATGGAACAATGATTTTAATATTTCGCACTTACCTGGAAAATGTTACCTACATCGGTTTTGATATCATACATGATATGGCTGAAGGAATTTGCGAGACAAATCACCGTCACCGACTAATCATCTATTTAAACATTGCACTCAATTTTCTTCAGATTTTGACTTAACTGCATATGGGCATTAAAACCCATTTCAAACACATCTTACTATGTTTGTTCTGTCTGCTCAGCTGAAACAAAAACATGTTTTATCGTACAGCAGTTGTTTCTGATGTGTCTATTGGGAGTATTTTGTTCCGTCTCTACCACTCCCAAATCCGTGCTTTTGAACATCTAAACACGTACTACAATAAACCTCTTTCTTCGGAGTAACGCTTATCATCCACTTCCACCCAGCTATCAACCGTTCGCTGTCCCTCCTTTGAACCTTTCAGTTCAGCTTAAGATCTAGGTTTTGTACGTGCTTGTACCGCACTTATCATCCCAACATAGGAGAGTTCCACAGCGACAGTAGTAAACGTTTGCTTATTTATTTATCCAAATTAAAACGGTCAAGTGGGGTTTACCCACAACATAACAGCTGCATGCAGCCAAAACTGTAAGTAATGAACTCAATCGCGGTCTGACGGATTGTTTTCAATAATGACATATTTTTTGAGTACCCAAAATACTAGATGGATTTCCATCCAGATGACCTTAACTCAGTGCTGCAGTTAGGTTTCAAAACTTTTACTCGGACCGTGAATTTATCATTAATAACTTAGATCCGGTGCATTAAGTATCCCTGATAACTTATTAAACACATGTAAATGAGAATTTCAACCTAATTGGAACAAACGGTTTACACGAGAGCACTGCTTTATGGCCACTTGTGGTATTTACAAATTTCCGCAAATAAAGATGGTTATGGCAAATCCAGCCTCATGGAGTGGGCGTGTTTTGTGTCGTATTTCCACTCAGTAATGCTATAACTGATGCGACGGCGAATTATCTCCCTGTAACTTTGGGTCGTTTTACTTGGCAACTAGAAAAATTTCCTACTAACTATTACTCCCAACCTTCTATAGGATTAGAAAAACTCGGACCCCCGATCGTTTGTAGTAAGCCGTTGAACAAACCGGAGAAAACAGTTCGAACCTGATTAAGCAGCCCTACCTACATTTACTTCTGTGGATTGCGCGCAAAGTGCACACACGCAGGGCTAGAGTGCACGATCATAAAACATAACAAACAGTGTGTCGGAGGTTCCAGCACACACCTGGCTTGTTCCAATCCGTCTAAACAACCACCTGCATTGCACTCTAAAGGTAGCGTTAAGATATCGAAACTTTATGCAAGGGTAAATCAAACTTTCGCATATCCCGGACTTCTGAAACAAAATAATTTAACCATTTTTGGGTCAAATTTTGGGACACCGCTGGTAAAACGAAGGTTTTTCAAGATATAACGAGGAGCACAGCAATGAACTTACTTTCAGTGCCAACATCCCAGTGTCGCTTAAAAACATAGTTTGTATCGATGGATTATCTTTATAATGATGGGTTAGCGCATGTCAGCATGGTTCTACATTTGTAGCAGAGGAAATTTTTGAACAACCTAGCTCATTTTTAGTTATCTTCTGAAAATTCACCTCCAGTCACTTAAATGCGTCAGAATGTTTATAACACCCATCAATTCAATTTTGTCAGGGGATCCGCTGATAAAGCATCTCTTACTACGCGTGTTTCAATGTTTAGTTATGGTAGTCCTACATATCTGTAAAAAGCTTCCTTTTTCTTTTCCTTCAAGGTATACACATCCGGCAGTAAACCGGGCCCGGTGACTATTCCGGCGCGTAGCCGTAGCGCTCAACCAAGTCCAGGACCAAGTCCAATGGCTAGTCCAAACTCATATTATCGAGCGTCGGAAAGCAATTTGAATCATGATTATGGAATGGACAAACATTCCAGGATAATCAAACCTCAGTCAATTGATTTTCAATTCAGCACCAACCACCGATCCACATCTGTTCAGTCCAGCAGTGACCAATTGCGACAGACGAATGGAGAGAATGTAAGCATTGTGAATGAAGAGAAATATACGTCTTATTATTATTATGTCTTATCACAGATAATTCTAGCAAAACTTTGTGAGCTATTACCTTACATGCGAAAGTTTTTGTACAGCAAGAATTACTTAGGATACAGGAATTTCACACTTTCCTTAATAGTTTGTTGGATGTGACACCAAAATATCAGTCTTCCTGCTATTCTAGAGCCACCACAGGTACAAAATTTATAACTGACTTATCGCAACATACACCGCTCAAATACTTTATCTTATCACAGCAAGGACGCGCAATTCCCTAAAATACTGAATCATATTGAACTTGGTGTCAAAACATTTGTTTTCCTCGTTCACACGATTTTGGATAAATAGTTATTAAAGTTAATTGCTTACCCTGTCCATGATATTGGTCCTAAAAATAAATTTTCTGGACAATAGGTCATACGACTCATCAGACTTCTAGATAGATATTGAGCTTGTGGGTTCTCTAATGATGTTTGGTAGGCAAAAAGCACTCTTCCAATATTTCCGAACTCAACGCTAGACCAGCTACTGGAAGACTGTAAACACAACCGCCCATCCTAAGAACTTTCGAACCATGTGATAGCGTTTTATTTTTCAAGATATGTTCCTCGAGGGTGTATAAACTTGCTCACTGAGCTGAATACTTCAGTTGGGAAAATTCCCCCCTTCGATACATATTAAAATTTTACGTGTATAATGACAAGTGACTTCATTTGCTGTTGTTGGGTCCAAGCAAACCTGAAGACAAGCTAGCGAGGACACATCAGCCACCGCTTTACCATCTTAGAAAAAAACAACATAAACATTAGTAATTTGGACTCATCTCAGTCTTCAGTCTATATAAGCTTGAATGATCCAAGCACGTATTATTTTAGTCAGTCGAAACTTGGTCCATCACTTTAAGTTTCCCCCGGAATTCTATTTCTATTATATTTAGGAAGGAATAGAATCTCAAATTCTGCCATCCGTCCGCGAAATTATCCGGCAGGTTGAGGCAATGACACAGTCGAATGCTGCTACGTCGACCACAGATATCTCATCCATAGGTCGCACAGGATCAGTTGGTGGAGGCTCAAGAATTACCAAACAGCAGCAAGAGCAACGGAGTCTTGACCATTATGGCAGAGGGGGCATTCTGCGTCAAACCGGAAGTAGCCAACGAACCCCCAGCGCACCGCAACTTCGTTCGGTACAATACACCCCAATGCAAGCGAAGTTCAATTCCATTGCAGCTTCCGCAGCGCAAAGTCACTGTAATGTGGCTCCCCCAGTACCACCGCACGGTACAACACGGAGTAACAAAGTGAGCCGAGGAGTTATGGTTTTATGTCGAAATTTGGTAATCTTTTAAGATAGGTGTGGTAAGATGGTAGGCTTACCTAACCAGTTCACCTTACGGTCGTTGATTTTAGGATTACATTAAACAGTGATTGGAACTGCAACCAAGCTAATAAGGGTTTTGTGCTTTTAGATTATGTAAAAGACCCATTCAGCTTTGGTATTTCAGTGTGGGTTCTACGTTTAATGAATTTTTCCCGTTTCCTGGGATCAATTACCAAGAGTAAATGCCAGGACCAAATGATCTATATAAATGTCAACTCGTGTTATTTAGTAGGCCGAAGTTTGGTAGCCTTTTCTCCAACACCGTCAAGTGAAGGACGCACAAAACTTGGCAAAATCATACAACCCACACGTTGTACTGCACGAGTTTGGAACTGCAGTTGCTTTACGTCAGTCCCGAAGTTAAGGGACATGTGAGTTACACTAAGGAACGGATTTAATTCATCTCTTTGCACTCTGAGTGAATTCGAAGCTTTTAGTAAAGGTGGGTTAGTTTAACCTGCAAACTATCTAATACACTTGCGCAGCCAACGTTGTCGATGATGACTGAGAGAAATTTAACACACCATTTCGCATTCAATAAAGCTATCTAAACGAGTTTAGATGCCAGGCATCGCCGGGTAAATGGCCCTGTAATGAAGTACACCCGTTATTTTGTATGACTGATTAGGATTTTGAACTCCTAGCAGACTGGCCTACTTTTATCAGCTGGATGCACAAAGAAAGAAACTTTCAATAGTTCAGCTCTTGCGCTTCGAAACAGTATTTCATGACGTTTGGCAGCATGGAATCACTCGTTTCAATAAGACTATCTTAGAAACTGGATGAGTCCAATGACATCTTAGATCTTCAAGCGGTCATAAAAATTGAAACTGTACTTCTCTTATCCTATTTAAAGTGTTTAGTTGCACATCAACTAACTGTATGACATGGAATAGACAGGTACGAATACATGCTTTCTCCGCTCGCGTTTATTTTAAAGCTTTTTAAATTATTTAAAAAGTTTGAGTTTGCTAAACCTTCGACCGTTTCATTGATCTCTCAAAGATACAGTAAAGGTGGTTGCAAGGCTAGATAGCATGACTTGTGTTTGCTTATTTCTAATGACCCAACACACTTCTTATCCATTCTTTAACCCAATGAAAAGAATTCCACGGTGCGGTAGCTTGTGGGTGGACGTCATGAAGCTGTCGTTGGAAATCGTGACGACAACATTGGAGTTGGTTGATCAATGTGGACATACGTAGGGAATGACACAAGTGCCCTTTGGAAACAAAATAGAGATTTCAAAACGCACGTGTTTGACTGGCTGATCTATTTGTGCCAAGAAAATTGCAAAACAGTAGAACTCGGTTATGTTTTTTGTAGTAAGGCTAATCTCTCTCAACCTTTTCACTAATAATTGCAAGCCTGATCCCGTCAGCTGCACTACGCTCAGTCAGATTGCTGATTTCATCTGTGGATGTCAAAGAGAAATTGGCTGTGAAACTACATGAATGCAGTGAAACGCATGTTGTTTGTTCAAAACCTGAATAAGCTGGCTGCTGCTATTTTCTACTGGCTAAGCATAGTAGCCAATTCAGCCTTCACTGCTTATGGAAGTCAAGAGTTTAGTTTTAAAAGCAGACTGTAGTACAGGATGTCAATTATATGTCATCAGACATGTCATGTTCTCGTGAATTCAGTGAAGAAGCCTATCGCATTTTACTAAGTTTGATCCACCGATGGAAGATTTTGCATGAAAATCCTAGAAATGCAAAACTCTTGTCAATCCTTGCTCTGTAGATGTCAGTTCAACCTCCCCATGTATCACACATCAAAGAGCAACCAAACTTCACGTGTATTTATTAGGACATATTATGATAATTTTTGCACTGTGTGGCAAACACTGGTCGTAAATAAAATTTTACAGTTTGATCTTAATGGAAATTTCAACCGACACAGGTAACAGGACAGCAGGGTTATGAAGGCTACGAGCGCTTCCACAAAATATCTATGTTCACCAGCATTTCAGTAGTATGTCATTCAGGAGGCGGGATTTTGCCATATTCGCAAACACAGTGTTCATAAATGAGTATCAAAAGGCAAAACACTATGGACCCCTTCACGTGGTTTCATTAAATTTTGCTGGCGTTTATCCATCACCAAGTCCAACTTAACAGTTAGCACTTAGAAATTATTACGGAGGCAGTGAAGCATGAAGGTTATGACCGTTGTATGCCTTATGAACATTTAATGAAAGCCAAAAAATAAGTGGTTCTGCTTCATTTCTCTGGTTAATGTTAATTGAGTTACGGTAGCGGCATTAGCGATCCGTGTTGCTAACCTATAAAAAGGGACCATAACCTGCTACAAAATTCTGTGTTTCATGGAGGTAAACCATCAGACGATGATAGTGAATTTGGGATAGTCTGTACACGCATCGTTTTGTTGCATGTTGGTTGATTTATGTGTAGTAGCTGGAGATAAAGAAACACCGTATATACAGCAGAGTGTTAGCCAGTAGCGTTTTACTGCTATTGAGTTTAGGGCCGAAATACGTGTGAATACAGCCCATTTCTTTACTGTATTTCTCCATGCATTCAAGCATATTGAAATATGCAACGTCTAACCCAGAAGTATCATAACGACGAATCCTGGTAATGTTCAACTTGCTGATGTGCCTTGGGTACCAACATTTTCATGAAACATCGACTAAGTGCAGTATATGGAGAAAAATTATTACGCTACGTAACCGGTGACTATTGAAGCCATGCCCATGCATGTCTGTTCCCTGCTAGAGGAATAGGTCAAGTTTTATTCGGGGTGCAATTTGAAAAAGTTATTTGAACTTGTGTGCAGGTAAACCACTCAGGGAGATAAGTTAACATGTTGTACTTGCCTCGTTCCATTTGAATTGTCTCCCACACCCCCTGTGTTTCGAGCGGAGGGTTGTGCACGCCTGGAGCAGTCTGCCAGAACACGTCGTCGAGGCCGAATCTGTGCAGAAATTCAAATCTTTGTTGGATTTGCACTTCGCTAACATACGTTTCAGAGAACGGTTGCCACTTGACAACGAAATCACCCACTTGTGACTCACTGTGTGAATAAGCATTTTGTGTGCTACATAGGGAGTTGCTGAACCATCTCAGGATAACCACCGGACGTGTTTATTTATTTTTTTTAATGTTTTTGATTATCACCCGATGGAGTTGTACAGAATTATCTTCTACTTGCTCCAAAATACAGTATTCAGTATTTGTAATTTACACATTCTGCTATGGGCCAATTTTCGTTTTACCCTTGTCGGGATGAGCAAATACAGCCTTAACAAAGGTAAGAATTTTGCATAAAGTTTCCAATAAACGCTCCTCAGAAGCCGATACTTATACTTTTAAGTATACGTTCAACAGGACTGCAGGAAGGCTATTATTAATTTAAGACCATTTTACGCTCATACAATTGTTTATTCAAAATCGACATATAAAAAGCAAATATTTTCTCATCGGTTTCCTTGATTATCCTTTACTTAAATGGGCATTGGGGTTTTGATCGAACCTCACTTTCGCAGCATAATTACGCTTTTTGACTACATGTGGAGCAGTGTTTGATCACTCTGGTGCGTCTAGTTACCATGGCCAATTGTGTTTCGAGCAACCTACCATATCAGACTTATATCCACCGAATAAGTTCTCTCCTACACATTAACGCTTTTTCTTTCTTCTAGACGATCATTGGTTCTATCACGCGGCGGCCAGAACCAGCTTACAATGAGACCAGCCAAATACAGCGCTTCGAAACCGGTAACACGGTAAGGTCAGCTTTTTGTTGACCACCACGGGAACTTGTTTTGTGCCTTATTTTCCATAACAGCAATAAATGCCCTTGGAATGTATGACACTCAAAACAAGATTTCTAAAACCCTGGTGAATTACTGATCACATGAATTGCTTACACGGGTGTATGCTTTGCTTAACCATCCAGTTACCTAAACACAGCTCTGTGGCAACAAAAACGCATGAATTTTTAACTCTCATCTATACATACATGCATTAGATGTTTCTACCTCCACTTCATCTGACAAACCATCAGAGTAGTTACACTGCCATGCAATAAAGCACACTTTTATGATTTGCATGCATGAAAGTATTGCGTTGTGTATGTTTTCAACTTAGAAATTGCTGGGAGCGAGTTGTCTCCAAGTGAAGCCACCGAAACAACTTTGCGTGAACGTTCCATCGTTTAATGCAAATAAATACATGTGTTTATGTCCATACTAAGTGATGAAAAATCCGAATGCTATGTCAATGACTAGTAAAAAAAACCGTCGATTCGATACGATCACATTCGACCTGACTAATAATGCACCTATGTTCCATTTCGGTTTTAGAGTTCCCAAGCAAGCAAGAAAACGGAACTTCTCAGTAATTTGCCTACAGATTATCAAAAGGTGAGAATCTACACCTTTTCACAAACCTACTTAGAAGCTTAGTGAATCGCGACCCATTCATCGTTCCTCAGGAAGCAAATAAAAGCAACGTGGCTGCCTATTCAATAGTTCCGTAGTGGTTGGCTTCAACTTCTAATATTAGTAGGGTCTGTGTCCACTAGTCCCTTGATAACTCCATAAAAGTCAAGAATATGATTCATTTCCAGCACCGTTGCATTTTTGACGGATTTGTGTCGGAAAGCTCTTGGGTACATAGACGGGGCCTCCTAAGCAAAGAAAATAAGGAGTACAATACAGATACAAAAATTAACTCAAAGAGCGGAAAGTTTTAGACAGTCGTACTGGTGATTTTAAACCTATCTCTCCTTTATGCATATATTGGTCAACCACCTGTATGTTAAACATTACAATCTCAATTTGGCGTTAGTACACGTCCTCTCAAAATTTCAAACCAAGTGTTACTCACTGAGACCTTATGATGAATCGACTGTGCACCCTCGATTTTTAATGGAACAAAATTTACTGTTCTGATCGCTCTCAAGCACTGTACTCATGTAATAGTCTGCTTGCTTCTGTGTAACCTATTTTGACTTAATTAGGCTTCCAAGTGTGTTCAAAAACAGTTTCTTCTCTGTGTACATAATTCAATCTAGCCTTTTCTAGAGTCCCCTATAAAGGCGTGCAGTTGGAATAGGGGACCAAATACTAGTGAAACTAATTTTACATACTAATTAATGAAATAAAACCAGAAATTTTTAACAATCGTAATAGATTGCATCGCCTGTTCCCTGTTCAGCTGCGTGAGGCCTTCATTGAACAAAGACGGGAAATACAACGTCTTCGAAAACAACTGGCTGAAAAAGATCTATTGATTAGCCAACTTCAAAGCGACATACGTCTGTATGAACCTTGGAGATGAATAAATATAGCTGCCCCCTTCTTACGTTGCCACACTCACAGCCGAACAATGTTGACGCAACTACTTAACAGAGACAAAAGTTTTCGACTTTTTCTATCTTCTCAGCCGCTGTTAGCAACTTTGCATTTTCTTATCGCCATTTTATGTGTAAGTTTGAACTTACCAAAGGGCGAACTTTTCTGCCATTTGTAATTGATTGAGGGACATCAATTTCATGGTTGTACCAGTCCCATTTCCCCCTCCTTTTCTGCCGCTCATGTGATTTTTTATGCTGTTCCAAATGGTTCGGTACACAGGAGTGACATATGTGAAAGTACCAACTACACGGTACTTGGGTCAGAACCTTGCGAAATTTCCCTTGCAATGTAATTCACGTAGTGCATTTCCTCGCACGACAATCGACAATGTAAATCTCCCTAGAGGTCACTTTGCCTCTCACATTTCCTTAGGTCCTCCTTTGTTTGGATGAATAATGAATCAGTTAATTGGATTTTTCCGTGAATTTGTTCGGAGAGCTTTCCCCCAGGTAACCGCTAACCGCAACTACACATGGCGCCAGTCACTCAGTGTTATTCTGGCAGAATGGGTTGATTGTGTTGGTCATGCGGTTGGCTATTGATTTACTTTTTTGGAGAAAAGTTGTTGCATGAGAGGATCAAAGCACGGAAAATCCGAAGGAGAAAATACAGTTTTGTTGTTTTGCTCCTCTGCATAATGGAATGTCCTTACTGGTGAGTTGGAAGAATGTCTGCGAACACAAAGCATACCTGGTTGGACATTTTAGTTGTTCGGCAGGAAAGCTTCATGTGGTCTAACACAACAGAGTGGCGATCGACAGCAGTTTCTCTGTTTACCTGCCTTATCAAAAAATGCTTGTAATGATCCAATGTCAAGGTTGGCAACTCATTAACCAAAAATGGAACTATCAGTGTAACAGAGTAGTGGAAACGCAATTTTTGCGTTAGTATACGAGGTAATAACAAAGAACTGTAGTTAATAATGGGTCGGTACAATGGACATGCAAAAAGGAAGCACCGCGTCATCCATCGTGTAAGATCCGATGAGGCAGTTCATGAAAACAGTAGAATGAAGGGTACAGCATCGCCTGAAAAAGTCTTGATATTTTTAAATATATTTTAGGATTTTATCAACCTGGTTTCCTTGCAACAACAATAACAAAGTGGCTTAGTCAGCCTTCTTTGGTGAGCAAATATGTAATAGTAAAAGATTATGAGCTTGCAAAATTGTTTAGTTATCAAAACTGTTGTGCAGTATCGACAGCTATAGAGAAACATCCAGTTTCATTTGCCTTTTATTTATGTTTAACGCACTATGTCATTTTGTATAAAAGGTATTGAATACCTCGTAACTTTACGTGGATAATTTTCGAAGTATTTTTCGCACCGGGTTTTCCATGCATTTAAAGAATGACCACCCAGCAAGCGCAAAACAGGACTATTGTGCAGCGTGTGGATAAGCATAAAAATAGTTAGGAAACGTAACGGTTACGAGAAACTATTTATTTATTACCATATTAGGCCAAGATATATAAATTACTTTTTGTTATGACAGCTTGGAAAGGTTCATACAGTTGCAGAAGGGATGTGGTAATCGCTTTTGCTTTTTGCGAGAATGGTCTAATGACATTCGATAACAACAGCTCTGACTGTAACTAAAATAAGTTTTTAAATCTATATGTTCAACATAATTAGAAGGAGATCTCGCAGAATATAAATTCCCGACCAAAGACCAACGGAGTGCAGGCTGAACATAAGCTATGACTGTTAAATAGGAAACAAAGTTACGAGTAAAGTGATCACTAGTTGATTTTTCACCTCAATGAAACGCTATCGCGCAACAAATTGCAATGAAGCTTATGACGTCAGATTTATACCGCAGTGCGCAATTTCGCTTGCATGCAACTGTCTCTTTTTAGATGTTCCATCAAGGGTATAGTAGTCCAGTTTGATTAGACATAATTATATCGATAGTAACATTGTTAACATAAGTCCGTAAATTCATGACACTTCATTGACTACTCCGGGTTCTCCCATTAACGATCAGGCTGACCACATTGGATTACTAGCCAGGTATCTAATACATTCCATATTGCTGGTGTTGTTAGCAAGGCTTTAGATTTGTGCATGATATGAGTCCGGAATTTACCCTCATCCCCACCCAAATATTCCAATAGTATTCGGGTTGGTATTAGGTTTGATTCTTGGCGTTATTCGTCGCAAGTAACCTAAGTGTAAATTTGGGTGTCCATATTATTGGCATTCCGCAGTTCATAAGATAGCAGGAAGCAAAATCTTTTAGCAAGATACCCCAATGTTCAGACATTTAGCGACTTTCTACAACCGCAGAAGTATTATTTTTAGTGAAAGAGAAAACAACTTTAGCTTTTTCGTTTAAGCTTGAAACAACCAATAACGTCGCCAAGGTGATACCGATCAACAAATCTGTCCATTTGCACATATTGTGTTTCTATCATGTAATTGCTTAATCTTTGTCGGCTGAATATTAATAACTACGAGCTTGGACTCTGACATGGTGGGTACTAGACCTGGCCAGCATATTCGGACTACTCGTGGTCACAGTATTTAAAAAGTGATTTAAAATTATTGTCAAACGTCTGCTCTCAGTTCGGCCAACGCACTTACTATCACGGGAATAGTGAATGTGGCCGACGAATCATGCAGTAGTTTGTGGGCCTGGATTCTCCAGCTTGGCTTTACACAGCTGATTCCCAAATTAGCGCAATAATGCAAGTTCGGAAACACGATGCCACTTCTTTTTCATCTGGCAGAGATGATGATGTACAAGTTTGTCATTTTGGTCCCCCTAAAATGGTAGAGTAATAAACGAATGTTTCTAAGGGACCTCTGTCAGCCGTTTCACACTGCTACTGTGTTCGCGTACGGAGCAATAAATCCCTCGGGGTATCCTATTTCACGTGCCGTTGATGACACGTGTTTTATAGCACTGTTAGTGTGTTCTCAGAACACCGACAGCTTCCCGGAAATCTTTTCTTATTTACCGGACACTAACACCAAGCAAGCACCCATGTACATCATTGTTGATCCTAACCCCTTACAACCAATGTTAAAGCCACCACCTAAAACTAGTTACACAAAACTTCCGTTTGGATTGCAACACTATTTTTACTCTCTTAGAATCGGTGTTGGTGAGAATGCACTACCAACACATGTGTTGGTTGTTTCAAACATGGCAACATTCGAAAGAATAATAGACTTTCATCTTATTGCTAAATGCTACACAACATTGTGATGCAGTTCCGCGTCTAATCTAGCGATAATTCATGTTTTACGTTAAAACCTTTTAGACTTTAATATCCCTTCGTATTTTTTATCCTCTGGGTATAGTAAAGTTACATGTCCTATCACACACTGCTGAACAATATTTAACAGCTGGTGTTTTCTAAGGAGCAAATTTGGCGTTCTCTCTTGTAGATGGTGCCGGCCAATTTTTGTTTGCATATTCTAAGGTAGATACTGTTAAAGTCGATACATAATCATTTCCTAATAAGCATTCGAGATGCATATTGAGTGGCTGCGCCTTCTGTATTTGCATTCTTCGGGTTTACACCTAAATATTGAAAGGCCCGCCCCACTTTACTTCCTATCGTGCATTTGTATTCAAGGTGACATTTTTTTAGCGCATTAAGCAGTCATGCTGTTTTCAAAGCCGCAGTAGCCAGAAAGTGTGTCGGCAAGTCCATTGGCTTTTAAATTTGCTTACTTAGTGTATTGTTTCTCAAGTAATTTCTAATGCAGTCAACCAGAAATGGCCTAACTGGTAAGCGCATGGCTACGGAATCTAATTGACGACTGACATTGACAATGTACCTTTTTGTGCCCGAAAGAAGAAATAAATTCAGTTGATGCGCCAAACCAATATCTATCAATCTAAATGACAGTAATAGGAAAGGTCTGAGCTAACCGAGGTTTGATTAAAAGTGATCATACATAATAGAAGCCAACTGCTTCCGATCTGCACTTAACCCAGTTATGCTATACAAAATTTCCAAGGTGTCTTTGGCACGTACCCTGCTAGCTCAAGACAGAGATAGAGATAAGCTCTGGCACCCTTCACGCTAACTTTAATAAGGTGCGTCCAACATAATGTACAATGAACAATGAATTTATACAGGTTAACAGTGCTGTTTTACAAGTCCTGTTGGGTACTTTGTTGTGAATTTCAAACTAGTAATAACAGAACAATTAGTACTGTAAATATGCAAGGCAAGACTTATCGGTTGCTCCGATGTAGTCCTGCAATCGGCGTACATTCACAACACCTATAGGTAACATCAACTAAATCTATGGTACACTCCATCAGTAGGATAAAGACGCAGTGCTAAGGGACAAGGCATAAGTGGACGAGTGGGTCATCAAACCGTCTTTTAAATATTGCTACCGTCCGCACAGAGACTACCCAATCAGGAAGAGCATTCCATGGGTGACATTTACGTATGGAAAAGAAATTCCTGCTACACTCCAGACGGCTATACTGCTCTGTGAGTTACAGTGATTGACCTCTCAGTATTGTATTGCTGCTGAATTTCATTAAGGTGCGTGCACAAATGATGTGCGTCGTGCAGATTCAAGCATGCCATAAGCAGGTTGCCTCGTATTCTGCGATACCGTCCTGCTGAATACCCCGCAATCGTTTCAGTTTGTGCTTGTGCGAAAGATTGCGTATTCCAATTACGTTCTTAGATGCTGACGCTGTGACTAATGCAGTGCATGAGGCCGTGTTTTAGCCCTGGATGCCAGGCTTGAATTTTGTATTCGACGTACGGGCAAACACCCACTGAGCATTTGTCGAAAAATAGGTGTTTATTTGTCCAAGCTCCCGTCGCAGCAGCCCAATGTGCTGGTTTCAAACCGTCGAGAACTTTTCGGATTGCCTGGAGCAACCTAAGTCATCTTGAACAAGCACACCCAAATCACATTCGGCAGTTGATCGTTGCAGCACATCCGTTCTGAATCAGTATGATTAGTTGATATGGTGTCGTATGGAGAGTACTTTGCATTTACTTTACAATACTTTTTGGGTTGTACACTGATGTACCGTGTCTAGGTCACTCTGAAGCATATATTGGTCGGCGTTAACGTGGGTCCTACGCCAAATCTTTATATCGTCCGAAGACATTAGAAAGTTTGAAGCGGTTGCCTGTGCGAGGTGGTAAATAAATACCACATCCGATCGTGGCCATGGAACTGATCCTTGCGGCACACCAAAATCGACTTACATGGGGTCCGACAAAGAGCTCCGAACACTGACAACTATTTGTCGTTGAAGGAGCAAGTTCTTTGTCCAGATTAGACGTATGTCACTCATCCTGCAATATAGGAGCTTGGAAAGGAGTATGGGTTGGTCTATACTACCGAATAATTTCAGAAAATCCGGCTAGATTATATCGACCTCTTTTCCATCGTCAGCCGACTCAGTTCACCTACTGCG